TTGAATCATAACATTACACTCTTGAGATAAAGCAACTATTAAGTTGCTTAACGGCCTAATTTTCTTAGTCAAAAGCTCCCCTTTGCATAAACTAGCATATGATGTAATCCTTCTGAAAAATAGATGTTGACTTGTAAGAAATTGAACAGCTCCATGTATTTCTTGAACTACCCATTTGTGACTTTCTTCTTTTAATGAGTATAAGATTACTTAGCATAAGGGTGGTCTTGTTGCTCTCTCTTCTTTATTTTATCATTATTTGTTTATATCGTTTGAGCAATTTCCACTCCATTTTCTATTTTTCTCTCACTTTTTTAATTTTTTATTTGATCTAATTTTCATTTTCCTCCTTATCCACCTTTCTAAAAATGTTTTTTTAGAGTATTTTCTCTTTCGAAGTGTAATGCCCACTAGTGTGGATACTATTGTAATCTAGAACCAAAATAGGTGGAGATCAAATAAAATGGAGTTCTGGTGCGGCAAATCAGGAGTGAACCTACAGTTATAGAACTTCAATGTCTAAGTCATTTAATGAACAACAAAATAGTATAGGTGTGTGAGTGAGAGAACATATAAAAAATCATGTGTTGGGCTTTATATAGTGTGAGTGATTAAAATTGTCTCTGTGTGATCCGACATCTAACACGGGGGACTGTCTGATTGTATCTGATAGTGGGTGATCATTCAAGCATAAGGATCAAATGCAAGTTCCCTGGTTATGAATACCCACATTCCTTAACATATTGGTAAGTATGATCATGTACTAGGGTTCATCATGATTGGAATTTCCTATCCTTGGTCATGAAGTTGGGCTAGGGCAGTTTCCCCCATGGTGTGTCATTGCATAATAGAGAGACCTTTTTCGAGTATCGGACCATTATCCTCCTTGATCGCGTTCTTACCACATAAACATGGACAATTTTGGAGCGTGAAAGTGGTTGATCTTGGAAACATAAACATTAAATGCAAGTCTCGTTTTTAAAATTATTTGCAGAGGATCATTTTAACAAGTGGCCCTAAATCCTTAGAGTAGGGTGTGATGCTGAACTTTAGTGCTTTCGAGTCCACTTGTCATCTTGACATAAATTCTTCCATTAATTTTTGTCTTCCTACCTTTCTTCATTTAGGGATATGATTTGTCTACTTCGCTCTAGTATATACAGGAAAAATTTTCTATACAAGTTACATTTTACCCTTTACGTGAACCGTATTATCTCTCTCTCTCTCTCTCTCTCTCTCTCTCTCTCTCTCTCTCTCTCTCTCTCTCTCTCTCTCTCTCTCTCTCTCTCTCTCTCTCTCTCTCTCTCTCTCTCTCTCTCTCTCTCTCTCTCTCTCTCTGTATGTGTGTGTGTGTATATGTGTGTGCGTCTGTGCGTGTGTGTCTGTCTCTCTCTCTCTGTCTCTCTGTTTCTCTATCTGTTTGTTTGTTTGTCTCTCTCTCTCTCTCTCTCTCTCTGTCTGTCTCCCCCCCCCCCCTCTCTCTCTCTCTCTCTCTCTCTCTCCCTCTCCCCTCACTCTCTCTACCAATTCTAATAATCCATCTCTTAGCTCCAGTGAGATCTTGCTCAATCTGTTTTCTTTTTCATCGGATTGTCATTGAGCTGTACAATCTCAAAATTTTCATATGAAGTTGGTCTTAAGGCTTTCGCTAGAGTTAAACTTATCATATCATAGGGTTTCATCTTATTGTATGTCGAGGTTGATCATATTGAAGGTAGTCCATGAGTTTATTGGAAAAAAATTGGTTTGCAGCACATCCCTTAGGTTTTGAAGATAACAAAGTATTTAAAGAACAATTAGGTATATTAATATTTGTTCAAGTGTGCAGGACCATAGACTAAAATTTCAAGAATAACCTGAGTATTGATTTTGATAGTGAACATCAAAAGGGAAGTTTAAATATCAGAACCTCAAGGATCAAAAGTTTACTTCTAAATACCAAACTTTGAAGAGGTTAACGTCTGAAGAAGTCAGTCTCTAAAGACCAGGATTTGAAGAAATCTACTTCTGAAGGTCAGAATCTGAAGTCAGTCAAAGCGCAAAGATCAAGGTCACTCTGATAAGTCACTGTCAAATTCTGAGGCTATTTTTGTCTTCTTCTGATCATATGAATACCTAAGCTATTTTTTTTTCATATAGACAACTGGAATGCAGCTGATAATTCCTTTTGAAGCAAAGAAATTTTAAATGACCTTTTGACGACATTATCCATATCAAGAAACATCTCAATGTCTCTGAATTAAGCTTTCCAAAGACTTGTGCAAACTCTATATTGAATCTTTTCCTTGTTTATATAAGGAGCTGAAGACTTGAAGAACAACAATGAACTATTGACATTTAAAGAGTTATTACTCTATCAAAACATTAGCATAAGTTTAACTTAGAATTTCTTATCTTTGTATATCTTAGAAATCTCCAAGTCTTAAAGAGTCTTCTTGTATTTTATTTTGTCTACACCTTTGATTGTATATCAAGTGTATTATTCAAAATAATCTTTTACCAGTTAGGTAGATTGTTAGAAGTATCTTACTTAGTGATTGAGCATTAAGAGTCTCTTGCTTGTATGCTTGAACATTATAAGTCTCTTGCTTGTATGTTTGAGCATTTGAAGTGTTTTGCTTGCGTGCTTGAGCATATAAGTCTCTTACTTGTAAGTTTGAGCATTGAAAGTCTCTTTCTTTGTGCGTGAACAATTGTAATCAGTTTGGTTATAGTGAAAATCCCTTAGAAGTGCAAGGGGACTGGACTACTCTCGGGTTGTGAGAGAAACCAGGATAACTCTGTGTGTCTCCTTCTTTCTTTTATTCCTTATCCGCTGCTTATTACTCACCTCTGATTCAAACTTTAGACTTTGTGTTTGGAATCTGACTGGAGCTTGAAAAAGAAAGAAAAAGTCTAACACAATTCAACCCCATTCTTGTATTTTTCTCACCTTTAGAGTCTTCTTCCTTTTCTTTGCGAAGGTGAAAATGGTCGCTAAGGGGTTCCTTAGTATGGTTTCATGTATCATGAGTGCTCGCGTAAATAATCTAAAATGACAACTGGTTTTCCAAAATCGTTGTGATATTTCATCTTTAGATGGATTACGGGGGCCATTGCATTTAGCTCCGCGAGTAATGATGTCCATAGGAAGAAATTGTATATGGTTTCATAAGGAATGACCTAGAAACATGTGTTCATGGTCCTCTCGTTCTTTCCTTCTCCAAAAAAAATGTAATTATACGGCCTCACACGAGTGAGTAGAGAAGTCATTGAATGCTAAAAGATTTTGCCCTTCATATGACGTGAGATCACACTCACCTAATCCTCTTGAAGATGACAATATACATAATGTTGAAAGAATGTTATCGATAAGGATCTCTAACATTGAGTGATTTTCTACAGTAGCAAATATGACTAGTAGAAGCGTTGCATTAGGAGCTCCATCCACTTTTTCGCAGTGTTGTAACCCTAATATGAACCTATTTCCTTTCTCTCTTCTCAAGTGATCCACCATCAATTAGAGAAGTGCTAAGACAAGAGAATGAGCTTGGAGTCGATAGATTAGTGGTGACTTCATGAGCTAAATCTAACATCATCGTCTTCTTTCAAGTAAATTGCCGTTGCGATTCGTGCCTTTGAGATCATAAAAATTTGATCGTGGATGTTAGTGAGAATCAGACGCCGATTTTCACAAACGGCGCCACTATTCTTTATTGGAACAAGAATAGGTGGAGATCGAATGAAATAGAGTTTTGATGCGCAGGAGTGAACTTCCAGTGCGGTAGAGCGGGGGTGACGACCATGAGTGAAAAAATAGCATAAGTGTGTGAATGAGGGAATGTCTAAAATGTTGCGTGTTGGAATTTATATAGTGTGAGCAATTAAAACTATCCTCGCGTAATTCCGCATCTTACACGGGAGACCGTTAAATTGTATCTGATGGTGAACAATTGTTAAAAAATGAAGATCAAGTACAAATCCCCTGGTTAGAAGTATCATAAGTCATCAACATCTTGATAAGCATGTTCTTGGATTAAAATTCATTATGATTAGACTTTCCTATCTTTGATCCCATGGCCGATTCAAAACAATTACTATTTTGATTCTCAAATTGATCAAATTACAACTTTTTTTTGGTTATAGATGATATTTCCTGCAAACTACTTGATTTAGCAATCAATTGATGATGCTTTTAAAACATATCTAATCCTTTTGAAATATCCATTAAATCTGGTATATTTTTGTTATGTTACAAATTGTAACCACTACTTAGTTTGTTGTGACAAATGGGGACATTACAGAAGTCCCAATTGCAATATTGCATCTTCATCTTTCTCACAAGTCATGTGCTCAGCAACTTAAAAGCATGATAAAAGATTGAAATTGTGAAAAGAATAATTGCACATTCCTACGATTTTATCATTTACTGTTGAAGAGGCTCTACGGCCTCCGAATTAAAAAACATGAAAGAGTATTTTTTGACATGACAATAATTTTTGAATAAATTTGAGATGAAATCTTGTACTTTAACAATTGAATTTTCAGAACTTTATCCTCTACTTACACCGATATCAAATCGAGTGTTTGTATTGATTCAGAATTTTTATATTTCTCTTTTGGTAGAATTTAATCTGTTGCTGGTAAATTTGATTAAATTGAGATCTATCTGATCTATAAAAGTTGGTTTTTAATAGTTACGATCTGATATGATTTTGGATGGTCCCTCCTTAATAGTTTGATTATTTGTGTTGTTTATTATAATCTAATTTTCTTGGAACTTTGTGGACATTTATATTGTAGCTTGCCATTAAATTAATAGTAATTGTGCATATATTATAAAGTCAACCTTGTTTATTTGAATACCATTTGCGACTTTGAATTGACAAAGGCTTGACATAGCAAATTCATATTATAAATAAACAAATGAAAGATAACCATATGCATACATATATATTATTCCATTATAATACATAAGAAAGACAAATAAACATATATTTAATGGCATTGTCAATTAGAGATTAAACCCTAGGAGGTTTAGGCTCATGATCTCTATTTGCTCCTGTCCCATCATAGTCTTGAGTTTCCAAATCCACCCTCCTTTCTACTAATCCTTCCTCCACATCTCCTAGCACCATTTCCTCACCATATTTCTCATCCACCTACAAAATCACTCAACAAATTATAAATAATAAAAAGCATATATAAAAAATAATATTCACGTATAGATTTTTGTGATTTCGATTGATACATGATGTGTTGTTGTAATACAGGATGCGGTTGGTATAGGTGTTCAGATTATAAAATTTAAACATTGCGAGGATGAGATAAAGAATAGCACTGACCTTAGCTAAAGAAGGTAGAACATGTGAATCTTCTTCACCTTTCAAATATATTTTGAAATGCTTACTTGTTGCAGGTGAAGAAGAGGAAGAGAGAACATACGATGAGAAACTCAAAAAGATGAGTAGCACAAGCAGGGTTAGGAGATTTTTGTGCATCTTGAATTACTAGTTGGATATGAGACAAAGGGAACAAGAGTACTTTAGTGTTTAAATAATAAGATCAACTCCATCCAACTGTGGTTTTTCAAATTGGTTTGCCAGCTTGGCATTGAAAATGTCAACAAAATGTTATTCCAGCTGTAGAACGTTACAAACATAAGCAACGGTTCTTCATTTGGTTTATTATTAAAATAATCATTTAGTTTTATTTTATTTTTTTAACTTTTTTATTTATATAAATATAGGTTTGTTGGAAAAAATTTATATCATTCCTATTTTCTCTCCTTTTTATTCCTATTTTCTCTCCTTTTTATTTGCTCTTTAATTTCAAATTTCTCTCTCACAATTTCATCATTTTATTCAAAAATATTTAATTTTTTTTCAACAATTTCTTCTCATTATCATTTTATTTCAAATTTTCATCTTTTTATTTCAAATTACATTTGTTTAGGCCAAATTTTCATCTTTTTATTTCAAATTACATTTGTTTATGTGATGTTATTTATTTTTATTGTTTTTAATTATGTGATGTTATTTATTTTTATTGTTTTTAATTATGTGACATGTATTTAAATTTAATTTTAATTATTATTTTCAATTTTATGTTTAATTTTAATTTTATGTTTAATTTGTATTTATATTAATTAAAATTTAAATATTTAAATTATAATTTTAAATAAAATAAATTTAATATAAATAATATATTTTAAATAAAGTGGTGGGACCCAATATGAGTTCTTTGAAGTTGCACTATTAAAATAAAAAATGAGTTGCTTTAAAAGAGTGAGTCCCACAAAAAACCCAAAAATGAGTTGCGGTGCTCTAACATGCGGTGCAATAAAGAGACGTATGAATGTACCGCACCAACCAATAAAAGTCAACTTGTTCGTTTATTTTTTATGTTATTGTGTGTACTGACCTAACTTAATTGATGCATTCACGGTTCATAATCCACAAAAGTACTTTTTTGGGGTAAAATCACGAAAAGTACTTTTGGATCAATAGATAAAGATGTCGCCCGTGTTTCTTTATTTAGAAATATATAAGCTGTTTTTAGTAATATTGCAACAGCATGATTAATAATAAAACAACAAACTATCATTTTGATTTTTTTAATAAACTAATCAGATATTAGTACATCTGCACGAGTAGATTATTTACTTTAACGATCATATAAAGTCAACTATATGAAATAGGTATTGTGTTGATAAAAATTTAGTTGTTTAGTGTTATTCAATTTAATAGTATATAAAATGTATATAGATACACATGTAATTTGAAATAATTTAATTAATTGTACAATGAACAATGATCATATAAACTTAAAAGCTTTGTAATTATCAATGTTGTGACTAGGAGCACCATAATGGAATTCACATCTAGCATTCGCATCATACCCGGGTGGAGGATTTCTAGTAAGAGGCGCCAGAATCCTCTTCTGAATTAATTGCAGCTGAAGCAAATGCTGTAATAACTGGGAATATGGCATAGGTGGAGTTTCAAGTTGTCTACTTGCCATTCTTTACCTATCAGGGTAATGACGAGGAGCATTAGCATGTTGCTGAGGTGCAGTTGAGATGGCAACAGTAGCAACTTGCTGATTATAGTGTGATTGGGCTCTACCTTTACCTCTATAAGAGGAGATAGAATTAGAATCCCCCTCTCGCTTCTTCGAGTTTCCTGTGTACGGCTTCTTCACTCCTCCAGATGAGAACCCACTTCTGTTATGAATCTTTTTGGTCTTAATACCGCTCTCAACTCTTTCACCGACCATCACCAAGTTTGAAAAACCCGGTGACATGCAACCAACCAATTTCTCGTAGTACGTCCCTGGCAACGTAGCTATAAACATGTCTATCAGTTCTCTCTCCAACATTGGAGGTTGAACCCTCGCAGCCAAATCACGCCATCTCTGGGCGTACTCTTTGAAGCTTTCATTATTCTTATGAGACAAATTCTTTAACTGCACCCTGTTTGGCGCCATGTCACTATTGTATTGGTAATGACAGACAAAAGCTTCCGCGAGATCTCTCCAGCTTCTAACATGAGCTCTCTCCAGCCCCATGTATCATTCCAATGATGGTCCTGCCAAACTATCCTGAAAGAAGTGCATTAGGAGCTTTTCATCGTCAGAATACACATACATCTTCCTGTAGTATGCACGGATATGAGTTTTAGGACAGGTAGTCCCTTTGTATTTGTCAAAGTCCGACACTTTAAACTTTGGAGGGATTCTGACCCCTGGGACCAAACCGAGGTCAGACATGTCATGATCTAATGAGTTTTGATTCTCATAAGCCTTCATCTTCTCTTCAATCAACTTGAACCTTTTGTGAGCTTCCGACGGAAGACCGACGTCCATATTGTTGTACCCCAAAATTTGACCAACCATTTTCTTCTTAACTTGGCTTATGTTTCATTTCATTTTAGCATTTGCATTTGCATAGCATTGTTCTCTATAGGGGATCAAGAGGTGTCTTGTGTCATTCAAGAGGGGGTCTATTTGGTTTCAAGCTCAAGCAAGAGGTATTTGTGCAAGCCATCAGGGTTTCATCATCATGGAGAAGTTTCAAAGCCCTTTGAAGGGAGAGATTGGTGTATGGTTGTTACCTCCTATCTTGAGGTTATCAGAGGCTCATCAGAGGATCATCAGGAGTTCATGAGGTCACTTAATTGGATAAGGCATGGTTCAAAAGCCCAATGGGAATCTTGAGGGGTCTTTATGGAGCTTGTATGGTCATACAAGTCATGTGCAAGAGCCTTAGTCAAAGGATATGGTGTTAGGGTGTCATCTGGGAAACCCATAGTCAACTGTGGACTTGAAAGGGTTCAAAAGCTTGGTTCTAAGTCATTGAGGCCATGGGAAGTCATCTAAAAACATATAAGATGTCATGTTAAGATCCAATCAAGAGGAATCAAGAGTTGAAGAAGTTACTAAATTAGGGTTTCATAGGTTGTCAGTGTAAAATCTCTTTCTTTAGTGCCCAACATCAAGGAAAATTTACCCTATGATGCAAGCTCAATCTCCTTTTCATGAAAACATGAGACTTGTAGGGAATGTTCTTAGATTTCTTTTGAGTACAAGAACTCATCCATTGGGTTTGTACATCTCAAGTTATGATGCCAACAAGTCAGGGGTCTCAGATGAATAGAATTTTGGTCAACAAAAAGTCAACTCGCTTTCAAGGCATTTTTGACCTAGAATCAAGTTTCTCCTCAACTTCAAGTGAACATGAAAGTTGTTCTTCATGGTCTTAACTTTCCAGAAAGTCCTAGAAGTCCTTTTTATCATGTGTGTATCTCAAGTTATGGACATCCCAAGGCAAGGATATTTTTGGAAGAATTCATTATAGGTCATTTGTTCAATGGTCTTTTTCATGAACTTATAGACCTCAAATGCAATTGCAACCAACATGAAAAGTGTGCATAAAAGTCTTATATCCATCATTGAAATCAATATTCATGAAGAATGGTGAATTGTGTGGCCATATGTATCATTTTAAAGTGGAAAATTGAGTTTTTGGTCATGGTTTAAGAACCCTACATTACAAGTCTTATTTTACTTCATTTTTGAATCATTCCATGACATTACATAACACAAAAGATGTTTGCCACATTTGGACCAACATGTTTAAGGCATCATGTACTACTTTTTCTCAAAATCACTTAAGAAAGTAATTAATTCAAAATGGATGTAAAGGCTTCATACATAACCAAATTTGATCCAATTCCTTTCTACACCATGTGCTCGGTTGGTTGCTGACCCAAAAAGAAGGTGTAGGCCATGGAACCCGTGTGTGGTGTTAAGTGAACTTTTTGGCAAAAATATTGGAATCTCACAATGCAGCCATCATGGGCCTGCATGGTTGCCATAAACCCATGATATTTAAGCTCAGACTTTGCCCTAATGCCTCAGAAGAGATTGCTTGCGTGAAAGGAGAAAGGATAGCTCAAAAATTATCTCAACACTTTTCACTTTCGAATCACCTTTTTCTCTGTAAATTAGCCTCAATTGGTGCTTGCATCTTCTTCATCAAAGTATAGGGAGTAAGTTGGAAGCAAGAAAGTGAAGTTTGCGTGCCTCTGAAGAACCAATGGGGTTGCTCCGTTCAGTAAGCTTCTCTCTCTAATTTCTCTCATTCTAGGCACTTTCTAAGAGCATGCTGGGTTGCATCTAAAGCCCTACCTATGGTAGGCCATGTTTGGTTCTTTGTTGTGTTTTTTTTATGACATTTTCAGTTGACATGTTTGAATTTCAAGCTTTCGATTCTCTCTGATTTGGAACCTTTTTGTTGTTTAATTAGTTGATTTGAGATCCTTGCAACTTCAGCTTTCGAACCATACCAGATTTGCTCATTTTTATTGAGTTTTGGTGACTGGTCTCCGGCGAGCTGGCCGGAGAAAACGACTGGAGCCCTAGCTCCGGCGTCCCAGTCCCCTGTCTGTTATTAGCTGATTTGGCATGTTGAACTCTTTGACCTGGTCTGTTTGGCACGCTTTGATTGGTTTGACCAGGCCACGCGTATAAGTTGAATCTGGCTAGACTTAATGAAACGCTGTGTTTCATTAAGTCTGAGGGCTGGCCTTGGATTGGGCTTTGCTTGCTAATCACGCCTCCCTTTTTCTGGAGCCCAATGCGCATTTTGCCTGTTCCCAGTTCATTCTTGGAATTTCTTTTACACCTCCCACTCTTTTAAACTTATTTTATTTTATTTTTGTTTTCTGTTTTCATTTTCATTAATTAAAAATACTTTTGATGATCAGAAAGTTACTCAAAAATATTTTCTTGCATTTCAAGACTTTATTTAATTTTCCATACTTTTATTTTTTGATTTTACTTTTATTTGCAATTTTATTTTAATTTTGCAATGTGAAAGTATAATCATGCATTCACAAAGGAAATTATAATCATGGTAAAGCAAAAAGCCAAGTGATTTCAAACATATAAACATGTTAGACATTCCACAATGATTCACACAAGATCAATCTTACAAGAA